TCCGTCCGTCCGTCCGAGGACTTCCCGTGGTCCGATCTTGACCAAATTTGGTATGCAGCCTCCTTGGGTGACCCTAAGAACCGCCCGGTGGCAGCAAATCCGATCCGAGCCCCGGGGGCGCTGTTGCAGGTGCATCATGGTCTACATGGGGTCGAGGAGGATCTCGGCAACGGATGCAGCTAGGAGGGCGTGTAGGGGTATTTTTGGAATCGGGGCGACGAGAAAAAAACAATGGTGCCAGTTTCGAGCGAATCGGAGAAGTTCGGACCCGGGTTCAAATCCCAGCGGGGTATTTTTTGAACATTCTTTTTATTCGAGTTTTTGCATTGTTTCTGATGTTTTTAAGGGTGCTGATGACGAAAATGACATTAATTTTAACCCCAGATTCAGGTTTTAATTCCGTCGGGGTCAAACATAGATGAAATTCGTACGTTTCTTAATGTACGGGACGGGCCAAAGTTGCCGATGTATATCGCTACTTTTCCTGTTATTGGGACTCGCTACGCTCGATGGGGGGCTCCGCCCACCACACCCCCCGGTGCGGGCCTTCGGCCCGCTGAGCCTCGCCCGGTTTTGGCAGGTTTCACTGTAATCTGTAACCTTGCCATCCTAACTGTTACTGTTTTATTTTGCTAAAGGAGGTTTTTGGGACTGCTAAGTGCTTTTTAGTCTGTCGCTTCGAGGAGAAAGAATTGCCAGTGTCCATCTGTGCTTGTCATGAGTTGATTGTTTTAGGTGTTTTACGGAGGAAAGCGCTTACAGCCTTTAGCAGTAACCTAACCCACCTTAGGGTTTTTTCTCAGTTAGCTTCGTACGGATAAATCGGCACCCCTTGCATGCAGGCAACCCGTAACATACGCCGTAAAATGTTAAAAAGGAAAAGCTGTACGTGAATATATCGAGAAAAGAATTACCGATGATAAGTTTTATGGCCTTTATTATGAGCAGTCGCACGCAACGTTGCAAACACTACGCCTGCGAGGTAGGCAACCAATGGATTAAATCTCGAGAACAATCAGAAAACATTAAATAAATTAAAGCTTGGTTCTGATTTCTTCTCAAAATAGGGAAACCTTTACCTCGCAAAACTCATCCAAAGTCCATTTTGCATAAGGAGTGAGGACCCCCGGCAGGTAGGCAACCAGCACGACCCGCGATCTTGAGAACCGTTTGGATGCCAAAAACGTCATAAAAGCAAAAACGTTGCTCGTCGAAAATAAGGCTCAGAGTTTGCAATGATGACGCACTTCCAAAGTCATCTTCTTCGAAAAATCTGCGTCAGAAGCAAAAACAAAGAAACTTTTTGCTATTTTGAACGACAAATGGCAGAAATCTCGAGAATGGCACGTCGGATCGAGACGAGAGATGGCTCAACGGATAGGAAATTAAATTTGAGGGATACCGTACGCTTTAAAGACCTATCTAGGACGTGTCCTTCTTGGTGAAAGTTTGATCGGCGTTCCTAGGGGACAAATTTTCTGCCGTTTTTGAACGACAAAAGGCCTAAATCTCAGGAATGGGATGTCAGATCGGGACGAGAGATGGCTCAATAGATAGGAATTAAATTTGAGGCGTACCGTACGCTTTGATGACCCATCTAGGACGTGTCCTTCTTGGTGAAAGTTCGATCGGCGTCCCTGGGCGGCGGGGAATCGCACCTCAAATGCGCAACACAGGCCTTATGGGAGATGGATTTTTCGGGATTTTGAAGGGGAAGGGGCGAGAAATTGTCTGATTTAAGATATTATCGCTCCCCAATTGTCGAAGAGACGAATCGAATGGTGTTTGAACGAAGAAAATCGGTCGGGCGGTTCGGGCTGTGCCTTTTTATCGCCAGTCAGTCAGTCAGTCATCTTCCGGTTTTGGGGTATTTGGCCCGTCCCGTTTATTTTTTGTAAAAAAAATGACGGAGGGACGGGCATATAGTATGACTCGCTACGCTCGCTGGGGGGCTCCGCCCCCCAGACCCCTCGTGCGTGCCTTCGGCCCGCTGGGTGGGGTCCGGCTAGCGGCAGTAGGAGTTGGCCGCCTGTTCATCGGGCGGTGTACGCCACCGCGGTCAACTCAGAAGCTGTCTTCTACACAATTCCTCGTGAGTTGTGAGTATTTTTGAAAAGGGGTGACAGCGAGGCAAAACGTCGTAAGTCGGGCTCCCCTGGCATCGTTGTCCTGGCCGCGCAGTCAGCAGCTGATGTGAAATCACTTTGCCGTGTTCAGGAACAGCATTTCCTGTCATCTAGCCTGAATCGCACTGCTCAACAATTACAGCGAAAGGTAGTGATGGCTAGCGGGGTCACGAAGGCAGCAGCTTTTTATTCATAAGCAGCAGAGTACAAAGTAGCCTTCTCCGTCGGTCCTTAAGAGAAGATATCTTTTATGGATTTTTTGATTTTGACAAAAGTACTAATGCGCACCCCTCAAGTTATATGGCTATGTATCAAAAGGAAAACTGGACCCTGACTCTCATAAGAAGTGGCCAACAGTCTAAAATTCTACCCTATAAGTTGTCTGTAAAATATTGTCCCGCCTGAAAAGTAGGGAACCCAAAAAATCATTGGAACTATTGGTCCAGAAAGCATTACAAGCGAGAATACACCTTTGCCACCATGAAGACGGACTTTGTGTTTTGATTGCTGAACTTAACCGTTCCAAAATGGTTTGTTTTCTTTTAAAATAGAGCCCCTGGAAAGTAGGCAACCACCATGAGAGACAGTTACCAGGACCGTATCTCTAACCGAAAAGTTGTCAAATCGGAGATGTTTGCTATCCTTGATAAGAAGCAGCCTACACGTAGAGAACCTACCCTTGTTGTCACCTTGTACGGAAAGTGGACGCCCCTGTAACGTATGCAACCAGGGGCAGTCGGAATTTGGATAACCGGTGCTCAAAGTGGCAAAAGTAAAAGAAAGAAAATCCGATGACCTTGTAAAAAAGGGGATCACACAGTGTATTTGTCTGCCCACCCTTGGAAGAAGTCTCGAACATGAAGTGAGCGCCCCTGCAAAGTAGGCATCTTGTGGAATCGTAATCTTTTATCTCTAACCATTGCGCATAGAAGTAATCGACCCAGAAACATTCCTTATCGAAAAGAAGAGTCATATTGAATTTTTCTGACCGCTCTGGACAGCAGTCTTGTGACAAATTGAGTGCCCCTGCCAAGTAGGCAACCAGTGAGAGTGGAAAATTTAGAGAACTGATGGTTCTTGAGATGACGGTCGAAGAACCAAATCCATTTTTTTACAAAATTAAAGTTATCCGACCCGCTTGAAAGAAGTTTCGCATGTGAAGTAAGAGCCCCCGCGAGGTAGGCAACCAGGGGGAGTCGAAATCTCAAGAACCGTTCGTCCTACAGAAAAAGTAATAAGAGCAAAAATGTTCCTCGCGAAAAATGAGGGGTAGCGTACGCTTTGATGAGGTATCTCGGAAGTCGTCTTGTACTCCAAACCAGCCACGGAAAGAAAAAGTAGCGAAAATTCTGCCGCTTTTAAAGGAGGAAAAGGTCAAAGCTGAAGAACGGTGGGTCGCATCGAGACGGGACCAAGTTCAGCAGATAGAAAATTAAATTCGAGGGGCAGCGTACGCTTTGATGACCCATCTAAGACGCATCCTTCTAGGTGAAAGTGCGATCGGCGAGTCGCGGGTGCCGGCCGGGGGGCGCGGCATTTTCCCCCACCCACTCACTGCAGGCCTTATGGGAAATGAGTTTTCCGCGTTTAGCAGGCAAAAGGTTGAGAAAAAGTAAATTCTAGTATTTTTTTGCTTCCCAATTGTTGAAATGACGAATCGTTTGACTCTTCAACGAAGAAAATCGATCGGCCAGTTTTCGCTGTGGTTAAAAGTTGTATGTCACTCAATCAGTCAGTCGTGCGGAGGGGAGTATTTTTTTGGGATCCCTGCTGTGCGTCCGTCCGTCCGTCCGTCCGTCCGTCCGTCCGTCCGTCCGTCCGTCCGAGGACTTCCCGTGGTCCGATCTTGACCAAATTTGGTATGCAGCCTCCATGGGTGACCCTTAGAATCGCCCGGTGGCAGCAAATCCGATCCGAGCCCCGGGGGCGCTGCTGCAGGTGCATCATGGTCTACATGGGGTCGAGGAGGATCTCGGCAACGGATGCAGCTAGGAGGGCATGTAGGGGTATTTTTAGAATCGGGGCGACGAGAGAAAACCAATGGTGCCAGTTTCGAGCGAATCGGAGAACTTCGGACCCGGGTTCAAATCCCAGCAGAGTATTTTTTGAACATTCTTTTTATTCGAGTTTTTGCATTGTTTTTGATGTTTTCGAGGGTGCTGATGACGAAAACGACATTTACTTTAACCCCAGACTCAGATTTAACTCCCGTCAGGGTCAAACATAGGCGAAATTCGTACGTTTCTTAATGTACGGGACGGGCCAAAGTTGCCGATGTATATCGCTACTTTTCCTGTTATTTTGATTAATCCCTGCTGTGCGTCCGTCCGTCCGTCCGTCCGTCCGTCCGTGCGAGGACTTCCCGTGGTCCGATCTTGACCAAATTTAGTATGAAGCCTCCTTGGGTGACCCATAGAACTGCCCGGTGGCAGTAAATTCGATCCGAGCCCCGGGGGCGCTGCTGCAGGTGCATCATGGTCTACATGGGGTCAAGGAGGATCTCGGCAACGAATGCAGCTAGGAGGGCATGTAGGGGTATTTTTGGGATCGGGGCGACAAGAAAAAACCAATGGTGACAGTTTCGAGTGAATCGGAGAAGTTCGGACCCGGGTTCTAATCTCAGCGAGGTATTTTTTTATCATTCTTTTTTATTCGAGTTTTTTGCATTGTTTCTGATGTTTTTGAGGGTGCTGATGACGAAAACGACATTATTTTAACCCCAGACTCAGGTTTTATTCCCATCAGGGTCAAACAAAGGCGAAATTAATACGTTTCTTTAATGTATGGGAGGGGTCAAAGTTGCCGATGTTTATTGCTTCTCTTCCTGTTATTTTTCTACCAACTACTCCTCCCCCCACTCTGATTCCCCTTTCTCTGACTCCGGCTCCTCCCCCTCCTCTTGGTGGCCTCTTCAGCCGCGTTCAGTAGCTTGATGAAGCTTTCGAAAGGAGGGCTTCACAAGGCATTACCAAAGTTAAGAGTGAAAATCCTTCTGGGAATGGCACTGTAGAACAATTCTGCTTGGTAAGTAACAACGTAGTGTCTTGTGTCTAGGTTTTGCATGACATTGAGTATACTGGTGTAGTGCACGACATATTTTGCGAAAACGCACATTTTTTTGCCAAGCTATGCACCAAAAACCACAAACGAATTGGAAGTGTGCCATTTGCCCGTTTGGCCAATATGGCACATTTTAAATGCGTTGAAACAAGAAAATGAACGAGAGAGCCTACTTGTAACTTATTCAAACCCAAGCCCAAACATTGGGAGCTTTATTTCTGAACAGCTCAGACCACTAGTGAAAAGTCATTAATCCCTTGCGTTTCTTGGTTCAAAAGGTGTATGCAATCATTTGATTTCTATCGTTAACATATCATCCCAAAAATATGGTACAGGATTGAAAGTTAAAACTACAAATCTAAGTTCTCCTTCAAGTGAGCTTATTTGATACACATTTTGAAAGCTTCTGACAGCAGTTGGACACAGTTTATGTTAAGTGAGTGTAAAACTCGTCACAGTTCCGTTGACGTAGAGAAGATATTAAGAGTTACGTAAGGTAGGTTTACGCCAGACCGCGTCATGTCGTCAGAGGCTTCGCGATGTCTCGCTGCCTGTGCCTCCAATCCGCGCCTAGCGTACCAACCTTGGCTGGCGTCGCTGGCCTGCCTTCGGAAGGCAATGTCATGTCCATAGTCGGTTACTTCAAACTTGTTGCATGCTGAGGGGCTTCTCCCCACAGACCCCCTTTCATTCTAGATACAGTTGCTTCATCTACAGATAACACGATGAGCCTTTTAAACTTGTCGAGGCTGGTGATATCTGGCCCCCAGACCCCCCTTTCTTCAAGAAAGAATAAATCTGCCTGCAGAAGGCTCCATTTTTCGCCGCTTTGATGGAGTTTTAAGGCCATAATAACAGGTAAAGTAGCGATACACATCGGCAACTTTGACCCGTCCCGTGCATTAAGAAACGTGCGAATTTCGCCTTTGTTTGACACCAACGAGATTTGATCCTGAGTCTGGGGTCAAATAATATGTTATTCGTCATCGCACTCAAAAACATCAGAAACAATGCGAAATCTTGAATAAAAAAATGTCCAAAATATACCCCACTGGTATTTGAACCCGGGTCCAAACGTCTTCGATTCGCTTGATACTAGCACAGTTGACTTTGTCTCGTCGCCCTGATTTCAAAAATACCCCTACATGCCCCTCTAGCTTTACCCGTTGCTGAAATCCTCCGCGACCCCATGTAAACAATGATGCACCTGCAGCAGCGCCCCTTGGGCTAGGATCGGATTTGCTGCCGCCGGGCGGACCTAAGGGTCACCCAAGGAGGCTGCATACCAAATTTGTTCAAGATCGGACTACGGGAAGTCCTCGGACGAACGGACAGATGAACGGACAAACGGACGAACGGACGGACGCACAGCCTGCATTATATGCCCGTCCCTCCGTCATTTTTTACAAAAAATAAACGGGACGGGCCAAAAACTGAACCAGTTGAGCAAGGATAGTCAAATTTTGCCCGTGCTGAGCCTAGAAAAGGCTCAGAAATTTTGCAAAATCTCACTAAGATCAGGCAAAGGCGTTCAGATGAAGAAGAGCGGATAGGCGGACAGAAAATACTATTTAACCCCAGTTGTGTAACAGGCTTCGTTGTGTAACAGGCACTTAGCTTATATTTTTACGATGTTTTCTATTTTTCATGATATAAGATAATGTGGCATCACAGATATTAAGATGATGCTTTACATTTTTGATTCCTGTCAACTCAATTTTCTGATCAGCAGACATAGCACATTCTTCTTCTTTACAGTCCTTCTGTGGAATTTATTTATTTTTCACAATACGTTAAATCTGTAAGAAATTTAAGTTTCTGTGCTATAATCTTAGCCGCAACTTAAGACACGGGCACAAGTTAAGGCTGCAACTGAAGTTGAAATTGAAATTTTACATAAGGTGCTTACAGCAGTAATCCAGCACGGGCTCGGGTTTTGATTTCTCGAACTGGTGCGCCGTCAAAGCAAGAGAGCATAATTCACTTTACGAATGGTCTTTTTGTGACCGTCGGTGACATTGATCGCCCCGACGGGTCACTTTCGCAACGTTCCTTGCTATCGGGGTTATTCGGCGCAAACATGACAAGGTTAAGAGGAGAGAGAAACCATAGTTACAGCGTTCCACACTGAGGCAAGCAGGAGATAGCCTTATCACTCGGAGTCACAGCCAAAAAAAGTGAGCCCAGCACAGTAGACCGACTCTCCTTTCTTTAAAAAAACATTTTCCAGTTGTAAAATAATGTAACGAATTATCCCTTATGTCCAACTAAAATAAAGCCGTCAAGCTGTGTTAAAAAAGAATAAAATTGATGTAGTTTGCAGCTGGAGAAACGTATTTTTGGCTGAGCAAAAGCAAAACGAATTACTCGAGTGAAGTTGAAAATACCGTTTTCTGTCTGTGTGCGTGTTTGCGGGTGTATCTGTATGCGCGCACCACGCTTTCAAGGCAAGACCCATCTGACTGAGATTCTGTTGGGTCATAAGATATGAGCCTTGGCTCACCACACGAAAATTCAACTTTTTATCTTAACCAGTTACACTCAGAAAAATGAGCTCTTCTTCCAAGAGCACAGAAACTCTTGAAAAGTACTCTTGTCTCATGATCTTGTCATTAGAGCAAAAACTCTTGGCAATCCGATGGCCAAATGAAAATCAGTATTCGATCCACGGATAGCAGTCTTACCAGTCCGTGAATGAGCCACCTCGGACAGTGGTCGAATCACTCCGATTTTCTGGTCATAAGTACAAAAGTTATCTTAGCACCGTTCTTTCTCCCTCATACGTTTTTTTGATCGCTGATTTCAATGTTGATATAGCGAGATAAAAAATTTTAGCCAGGGGCGGTAAGCGCCCCAAAAAGGGGAGGAACGTTTTCAAAACCAGTGTTCAACGCACATTTTTCACCTGCATGTTTGGTGTTTCGGTCTCTGACTCCAGTTCGGGTATGGCTGTTTCAAATTTTCCCGTCCAGGGGTGTTTAATTTTCAAGAAAGGTGGTAAAATTTTGTTTATGTGTACTAAGTTCGCTTTATTTACCTGCCGTCAGGTTTTTTGGGTCGCTGAATCCGAATCTGGTCGAATTCGCCCTCAGCGCCTCGCCACAAAGTAAATAAGTTCCTGATGGGAAACATCTTGCCCGTATCATGGATAGACTTCCAAAGTACTGCCGTCTATGCCGTTCACATTATGGCTTCGACAGGTTTTAACAGCTCTCGACAGTTTTCAGCTCCTGACAGGCTTTCATAGATCCGGATGGATCATGACTAATGCACCGAGTCTCAACAGACCGTGTCAAATGTTCAAAAGCATCGGCGTCAGGTTCCGGCGGTTTTGGCGCTGTTTTGTTTAGGAAGTGCCTTTTTTAAAAATTTACCTTTATTTTTGCTTTTATTTATATTCTTACTCCATCTCCTTCCCCCTACCCCAACCTTCACACCTTAAAAAAGTTTCTTTGGTGCTAATTGACCATCGAGAGCTGCTACGGTTATTTATATTTTGTCGGACATAGCCAATTATGGAATAAAACCCACGCTTTTGAGCGATTTTCCCTGAAAAGCTACAGCAACGACGAGGATTTTCGGTCATAGATTGGAAAGTCGGGCACGGACGGCAAAAAACTCAACGCGATTGTTTAGGGGGCACTTGGGGGAAGTGGGACGACCGCGTTTTATTATGGTCTAAAGTAAGGGAGAGTAAGGTAATTCCGGACACGGGGTGATTTCGGACACACCTGATTTTCACTGGGTTTGAGTGCAGATAACTCAAAAGCCCGCCTAAAAGAGTAAGATAATCAGTTAAAAATGATAATTCCAAATCGCCAAGGTAGTAAGTCAAACCGTTTGACTGTGGTCGCTTCACAAAATTTAAATACCATCAAAAATAGGCAAAAGCTGCATCTTTCCCTCGTATTCACTGTAAAAAATCATGGGTAAATTTACCCGTGCACTGCACTGATAAATTTTGCGCTATGGCCTGAGAAAATTTTTTCTCACGTAATGGATGCGCAGAGCTAAACTAACTATGTGGCTGGAAAAATTTATCCACTGACAGTGTGGGGAAATTTATGAGTCACAAAAGTAAATTTACTCTTTGGGAAGATAAACTGATTTCACTTGCCACGACAGTAAAATTACCCTAGCAAGTCAGGATAAATTTCTACACCTGGAGTGGCCGACCATCTTTCCCGCGCCACAGGGGCAAATTTCCTCGCGCCTCTGCTCGGCCAGTCCGGCCGGAAGAGTACAGAGCTCGCAGCGGATTGCCTGAAGGATGTCTTGTGGCGCAGTGGATAGCGTGGTGTGGTTTGAATCACAAGGTTGATGGTTCGACTCACATTGAAGTCAATAACGTGGGCAAGGTTTAGTCACCCTAACATGGTTTTAGCCACTGGCGCAAGCCAGCAGGGTAATTTTACCCCTGTGGCATGAGTTATTTTGGGTCGGTAGAAATTTACCCCTGTGGCTCGGGAAAGATACACCCTCAGTCCATGTGCGTAAATTTCACAAGAAATGGGTGAAGAAATTTCTTACGTCATGTACTGATCTATTTACCTATACATTACATGAGAAATAACTACCGCTTGATGATGGACCAAGCGTTGCCCGGTCCAAATGCGTAAATTTTCCCCCGGGATTTTTTACAGTGTTTTCATGTACTTATCGTACCTCACCGTGAAGTTCAGTCCGATGACTAAAATTATATCATATTATATGATCATTGGACTTTACTTTGGCGTTTTGGGAGTGCTCGTACGGCTCGCCGTTTTCTTACAATTGAACATGAAATGTTTTCACTACCTGTGGGGTAAATCCGGACAAGAGGGGCTATTTTATTCAATTTCCCGCATAATGTTAAGGTAATGGGTTCAAAATTGTGAACATGCATCCCCACCATTCAGAAGGATAAATAAATAGCGAAAAATAGCATTGCAGCTATGTTTAAGAGCTTTACTTAAGACAGTGTT